CAGCAAGGAGGAAGCCACAATGTCTCTTATGACCTAGTCTCAGAAGTGACAGACTGTCAGTTCCCCACATTTGATTCTTCTAAATGCAGCCTATCCAGAAGGGGACTCTGCTTAGGGGAGAAGTGTGAAGAAATTTGTGGACATATTTTAGAGTCACAACACTATCCATCTACCTTGCGAACAATGTATTGAGCTCCTACTGTGTGCCTGGTCCTGGTGGCAGTTCATAGTCCAGAACCTTGAGAAGCGCATCATCTAGATGGGAGTGCAAACTCAAATGCCTGTGGAGTCCAGGAAGTAGAATGAATGAGTTAAGTGACCATGTGGGCTCCATTGAGCTGGCTTCATTGAGCTTCTGAGTTAATGTGAAGCATCCTTATTTTTAGGTGTTGACAAGTAAATCAGTTTTAGCTTGTTTTTCAAACTCTCTGTTTGCTTGGTTTGGCCCATATACCACCCGTTTGCAGCCATACCAAATTTCTCAGTGGTCTTCCCAAATATGCATTCATTTGACAAATTTCTATATGCACTGGACTTCTAGGAGATGTCATAGTTTCCACTCCCAGCTCTTTCATACTTGTGTCCACAGCTCCATTATGGCCCCTGCCTCTTTCACCAGGTGAGTTCCTGAGGGAGGAATGAAGACAGGTGCCACTGAGCAAAAGGGGCAAGATGGCCTTAGGGCACCAGGTCCTGGGAAAATGAACAGGACTTCCAGCCAGGGGATTCCCTGGTGGGGAAGAGGATGAGCAAAACTCCAGTGTGTGGAAAGTGTGGGTAGTGCTGAGGCTGGCAGAGTCCCAGCTCCTTCCCCTTTAGACCTCCCCTAGCTGGCAGGCTCTTGGCTGCCTCCCTAGATGGTGAGCGCGGAGGTCTGATGGCCCTTCCAAGTAGCCAGGGGAGAGCTGGGAAGGGAAACAGCTGGAACAAGAAACCCAAATCCTGGATGAATCATCGATGGAATCTGTCCCACAATAACAAGAGAGGGCTGAACTGGGAGGAAAAGAGAAGCCCTGAGGGTACTGGGCCCAGAGAGGTGAGGGTTAAGAGATGGCCTGGGAGCAGCAGGGTGGCCTCCAGCCCCAAGTCTCCCTGGGACCTTGGCTCTTGGCTCTCAGTTTCCATTGTCATTGGAGCCAGACCCCCCTCCAATCCTCCATGGCAGGCCCTTGCTGGTGGGTCTCTGCAGACTCCGCTCCCTTCCACTGTCTCCACCCAGTTAGAGGAAACTTTTGGGGAAAAAAAAAAAAGAATCTTCTCACATTACTCCCTCCTTTGCTTCCTCCCATGGCTTTCCATGGCTCTCGGGAGAACATCAAACTCTCACATCTGCAAAGTGCTGCCCATCTCTCCTACCTCTTCTCCTGTCCCTACTCCCCTTAGTCTAACTCTTTTGTGTCTCCAACCAGCTCGCTTGCCACGGGGCTCTTGCATGTGCTGGAAACTCTCACTCTAATGTTTTTCCCTGACTTTTCTCACCAGTTATTCCTCTCTCTTCAGATCTCAGCTTAAGCCTTGAGCACAGCTATCCTAGACCATAGAATACTTGCTCCTTTTTCCCTTGAACAACTGAACCACCATTTGTATGATGCATTCATTATTAAGATCTGATCCCTTACTACACTATGAGCTACATGAGGGCAGAAGCTATCTGTTGTGTCAGCCTGGTATTACCAACAGCCTGCACACTGTCCCTGCCACGGGTGGATGGTTAGTAAATGCATCTCCTGGCCTCTGTCCTTGCAGGACATGACAAGTGTGTATGACTACTGCTTCACAGCAGCAGGGAAGGAGTTTAAGCAGAGTTACTGATTCCATTGCACAGCTGAGAAAACTGAGGCTCAGAGAATTTGGGCTGACATTTGCTGGGAACCTATTATATGCCTGGCACTGTGTTAAGCCCTTTAGTGCATTATGTCATTGGATTCCCACAAAAGCCATGAGGGGAAGATTATAACCTCCATGAGGAAACTCTGGTTCCCAGAGGGTAGGGAAATCTACCCAAAGCTACACAGCAAATCAGTAGCAGAACCCATTTCATATTGCTTCCCTGGTTTCTCTACTCCATCAGACATAAGGCCAGTGATAGATTTTGCTATTTCTCAAACTCAAAAGCAGTGACTGGACCATAATTCCATTATTCACTTACCAAAGAAAGAGGAAATGCATACTTGAATAGCCCTTGGAAAATCCCGAAGAGACAAACCAAGTACAGTCCCATAGTTAAGCCTGTGTTTTGGAGGCTGATTTCACAATCATTGGATCCTAACATAAACAACATTTTATGTGTTGTATATTAATTCTGCTGAACCAGGCACAGTGCAACACATTTTATATTCATTCACTGATTGAATCCTTACTACAAACCTATGAGGAAATAAATATTATTCAGTCTTTGTAAGATGACCCATCGTTTGTAAGGATGAATCTGAGACTCAGAAAGGCGAACATTCCTGAGGTCACATGTAGTATGGAGTTGAGCCACATTATTAGAGAGTATTTTTGGAGAGCATGCATGGAAATAAAGGTGCAAAGGATGTTGAGAGGCCCAAGGGGTGGACTGTAATTAGTGCTTTATAGCCACTTCAGGTCATGCAATCTATTTCCTTCTGGGTAACCTGATATGCTTAGTATTCAGCATATATTCCTGATATGCTTAGTATTATTGGGACCCTGGGCACATCTCTCTTTTAAGACTTTGAATCTATCAAGAAGTGACACAAGCCGGGGCCTCCCCGGTGGCGCAGCGGTTGAGCTCTGGGTTGCGAAGCTGCCCGCAGCCTCTGCAGCACCGGTTCGATCCCCGGCTTGCTCCCCGGCCACCAGAGGAGGGTCCCACATGGCGCGCAGACCTCTCCTGCTGCCCGCTGCTCCCCTCAGCAGTGTACTTCGGTCCTTCTGCCTGCTCTGCTCCCCGCTCTGGCTCTGGTGAATTCTCTCACCCTCCCGCGTTTCTGACTGTACCCAGTGCATGTATAAACAAAACAAACAAACAAATAAATAAATAAATAAAAACATGCCTCTATAAAAAAAAAAAAAAACTTTAAAAAAAAAAAAAGAAGTGATACAAGCCTTAAGATTCACTTGGGTAGCACAAGAAGGTAGTTAATAACGTAATTCCTAGAAATGAATGTCCTTGTCCAATTTTGGACTCACCATTTACTAGCTATCTGATATTGGACAAGTTGCTCTTGTATAGAATAAGGAGAGTGATAGAATCTATCTCATCACTGTCACACATGCAGAGAAGCACCTGACCTGTGGAAAGTTCCATTTTGGCGTATTTGTCTTGATGCAATTCCATCAGTCTCCAAAGGTTTTACAATTCATTCCTGCTAGTGAGACCCCAGAGCATCTCCTTTGTTTCCAGTGCTTTCCAGAGCATGTGCACCTGGCCTTCTCATTGATTCTGTGAATACCTGATATCCCCACCAATGCCTTATTTCTCTGTTTAATTAACTCAGAACCAGTGTGTTGCCTGCAACCCCAGAACACTAGCTGTCAATTGTCAATTCTGCTTCACTACAAAGCTAGGACTCAAAAACCTCCAAGTTACGATCCCCGCCCCCAACTCCCAGTGGAGTTCTGCACCTGACATGCATTTTCTGTCTGGAGTAGTGATACTGCAACCATCCAGACTGGCTCCTGCAGTTTGGAGAGGGTTTATGAGATTGCTTAATACAAGCCATCAAGATATCCTCTGGCATGTGTGCATGGTGGATCTATTGGGGATTATTAATACCAAATTAACAATGAACCACTGGAAGCCCAGGATGTGAACTGGTTATTAAAAGTTACACAGGGTAGTGCGTTAGCACCTAACTCAAGTTCTCTCTGCTAGAAACAGATCAACCATGGCGATGGAAAACGGACTGTGACTATGACAATGACTTTGAACTTAAACCTTTACTGCTAAAGTCATTCTTTTTTAGTTCTTTACTAACTCCCAGTTTCTTTGAGCTTAATACCGCCTCAGGGCCTTTGCACATGCTTTTCCTGTCTCCCGAAATTCAGCTTCTTTCCCCCACTCTTTACTAATTCCTTCCCTCTTTCAGATCTAGGGTTCTGTCTCCTTCCTAAACCTCAAGCTGTAAGTAGATCACCCTACAGTTCCCAATGTCAACATTTGTCTGTTTTCTTAGTTGTCACCACATAATAATTCAGGTTTGTTTGTCTTTTTTTCCTGTTGATGTGTTTCTTGCCTATCTTCCTTAGTAGATTATGCATTACCAGAGGGCAGGGACTCTGACTTGTTCAGGTTCAGCGCTTTGCAAGATATTTGATCAATAAATGGAACAATCCCAGAATCATCTAACCAGAAAGCATCCAGTTTCTGGCTTTTCTCCAAAGCTAAAGAAGCATGGTTTGGCTAAGGTTATAAAGTCAGTCATCATTTAGGAGAAAGCAGACTAGAACTTGCAATCACATCATCTGTAAGCCCGGTGATGGGTGGGGCTGGATTCCCAGGGAAGGGTGTTGGAACTTTGCTTGCTCCTCCCCACCAAATGGAAAAGCCAGGTACTAGCATCATCTTCCCTCTCTCTTCCCCGCTTCCATGTCCTCTTCTACTTTACCCATGAGGAAACTGAGGCTTAAGACAGTCGTGGCATGCCCGAATCTCCCATTGGGGAGTGGACAAGAAGACACTCAAACTCCGCTGCCTCTGAAGCCCGGTTGTGCTTCGCCCGCCTGGGGAGGTGGCGGCCTCGCTCTGCCAGTCGGTGCAATGGGCCCACCGCGGCCTGCGGAGCGTCTGGAGAGCAGGAAAACCCGGAGGGACGGGCTCCAGTTCTTGGCAGCCGGCTTGGCCCTCGGGCCTGGAGGGGGGGCGCCTGGTTCTCATCACGCGCAGCAGCAGCGGCGACGGGGGTGGGGCGGGGCGGGGGGCCAAGCGCCGGCACAAAGGGGCCGCCGTCTCGCCGCCCCATCCCACGCGGGGCGCAGCGCTTCGACCCGCCCCGCCCCTGAGGCCACCCCTCCGCTGTGGCCCGGCCCGCGTCTCTCCCTCCGTCTCTCGGTTTCTGGCTGCCTCTGGTCTTAGTCTGCGCCCTCGCTCCAGCACTCCGGAGACGAGGCTGGGGTGCGCGCCCCCCAGCCAGACTGCTCAGCTTGCTCCAGTACTAGACCCGCCGGGGCTGCAGTGCACAGACGGATCGGCAGACTGACTGACCCCGGCGCCCTGGAGAGCAGCGACCTCCGCGTGTAGCCCATCGCCATGGTAACGCCCGCCAAGGCCTGGACCACCTTGCTCCTTGCTCTCTCCCCTTTCGGTGGGGCACAGCCCCTCAGTGGGTGTCCAGGGCAGACCCCGACCTTTTATGCACGTAGACTGCCCTTCGGAACTCGCCAGAGGGCTATGCTTAACTGCCCCCACCAGCAGGGGTGGAGGGAGGGGGTCAGGGATGTGTCTGGAGATGCCCTGTCTGCCCTCTGGGCTTCTATCTCTCCGCGTGCGAAGTGGGTGGAGTAAGATTAGGTGACTTGTAAACCTGATACTGCCCCAGCCTGAAGCACAGGGAAGACCTTAGTCCTAACTCTTGGACCAAACTTTTAGACTTGGGACTGAGGGTCTGAAATGCCCATTGTCCCCACAGGGGGTTTGGTTGGAGATGGAGGTTAAAGGCCCCTCCCAGGTCAGTTAGGCCTTACAGGGCAAGAAGGATTAAGAGAGTGAAGTGGGAGGAAATTGCTCACCAAAACTTGAGCTCATTTAGCTACTTTAGACTCAAGGCTGAAAAGTCAGATTTGCAAATTCGTCCTGACTTGAGGTGGGTCCCCTGGGAAGTGGGTGGGGAAGTAGGCCTAGAGGAGGCCGGAGAGAAGGCAATTCCTCCATACTGTGACTTCCTGGGCTGGCACCTTGAGACAGTTGGGTGTGTGTGGGGGTGTGTGTGTGTGTGTGTGTACACCAGTATCTGGAAACAGAGAATGAAAGAAAAGTCTGTTTTCAGGGAATCCCAGCCCAGCTCCAGACAGGCCCAGGAGCTCCAGGCTGATTTGCAGGAGCAGTGGGGATTTGGAAAAAGGCTGTGAAGACAGGCCAGGGCTTTAACCCTTGACTGTGATCAAGCATGTTGAGTGTATGTGCATTTTCACTTATGTGAATGTCTGTACACAGACCTCTGCAGAGAGAGGAGTTCACACACATGCAGAGAGCACACCAAGACATGCCTACACTGACTCACATGGCTGAACACACATGTCCTCTCACACCTGAGCCTGGTCCACATGTTTTCCATTCCTGCTAAAATACAGCACACACAGCCTACACACCACACATGTACTGTAAAACCAGGCTCCTGAAGCCATGCTGCAGCAGGGCAAATGAGCACACACATTTCTCTTGCAGCTGTTGGACAATAATCATCATAAGTTAATGTTTATTCACCTCTCACCACAGGCAAGGCCCTGTGCTAGTCAATTGTTATACGGGAACTCATGTAACTCACACCAGCTCTAACAGTGAGCCTGCTGGTATCTCCACCCCACAGATGGAGATGAGAGACTTCAGGAGTTAACCGGCCATTGAAGGCCACTCTACCAGGAAATGGGAGTTAGGAGAGCCTGAATTCTGAATCTGCACTTAGCTGTCACAGTCATCCCAGTGCCACAGTTTGTGCCAAAGGTGCTTGCCAGCGTTTCCCTGCTTTCAGACCTAACTCAGTTATTAGTTTAAAATCCAGAAACTCCTACCTAAAGCCAAGATCCTCAGATCAAAGGTCTGGCACTGGGTGGCTCCTCTCAAAAGCTGAGTAACTCCTTCCTGAATGGGAACGATGGACAGATTTTCCTCCCATCTTTGTCTTTAAACCTTAAATGTTACCACCTGCCCAACTCTCTTGCTTACCTCTGTATTCTGGCCACTCTGATCTTGGTTGAGAGACTCTTTTTGTTTCATGCTTCTTACCACAGGACCTTTGCACAAAGTGTTCTTACTGGGTGGGACATTTATTCCTATTCATCCTGTAAACCTCCACACAAATGTCACCTCATTGGGAAAACCTTTCTTGATTCCTCCAACTCTCACTCTAGCATGCCATGTATCTCTCCTTTAGAGGCACTATCACATTGCAGTTTTTGTGGGGTGATACGATTAGTGGCTATCTAGTTTTCTGAGGCAGCCCAGTGTCAGAGCATCTTATGACAGAGGGGCTTAGGATTTGTCCATTTCACATTGTTGTGTCATCATAACACTTTTTGCTTATATGTACTGGATAGCTATTATAAGGAGATAATAAAATCTACCACTTATTGTTTAATATTTTCCTTTAAATCAACTTACTTTATAAACTAAAAGATATATTTAAACAGAAAATTATATATCATGATCATGAAAAATAGGTATCCATTGTCATAAATGGATAGTAACTGTAAAATATATATAGCAAAAGGGCTTTGGTAAATTCTGGCTAGACGGGGCTGGCCATGAACCATTCCCAGTCCAACGACTACTTTGTTTCTGTTGGAAGGAGCTGTGAATCGCTTAACATGTTTCTGTCAACAGTGGTCCCAATAGGCTCCATCATACAGCCTAGTGTGTCGTTGGTTATTCCATCTAGGTTGGAGTAATTACATGCTGTGATGTTCACACAAGGATGAAATCTCCTAAAGATCCATTTTTCAGAACATACCCCTGTGGCAACTGACACATGATGTAATGACAACGTATGTGAGAGCTGCTCAAGATAGACTGGCATTAATTGAGACTTTCTCTTTAGTGTCATCACGAGCACTGGAGGAGAGTAAGAGTAACTTTCTTGCTGTGATTTCACATGGAGTTTGTGTCCTCCCCAAATCATCCTGGGGGCCACCTGGGATCCCATCCCACGAAGTTGACTCCTATTCAGTGCATTCAATAATGCCAAAGGACTGAGTTCCTGGCGACTCCCTAAAGCATCTACTGTGTACCAGGCTCTGTGTCTGGGTGTAGAATTGAGTCAGTTCTGGTTCCTGCCTTGGGGACCTGCAGTCCATGGGAAAGGCACATTCCCTGAGAACTCTGGGCCAGAGATGGGCAGTGGGAGTCCATCCTTTGCCTGGAAGCACATAGCATGGAAAAGAGGAGAGATACAGGTCAGCAGGGCTCTGAAAGGTGGGAAGACATTCCCCCAAGTGGAGAGGGCCACAGAGGGAGCTCAGAATTCCGAGAGTGGGCCCCCACCACAGGTCCTAGGGGGAGGAATTTTCAGCAGCATTGAAATGAACATTTTTTATTTTACAGCTTTTCAACATTTTGAGTGTTAGCAAGTGATCTAAACAGCACATATGCACAATAATAAATAAAAATAAATTTATTTAAGTTAAAATGAATTGACAAAAAGACAGAGTACATAAAAAGTAAAATAATAATTTCAAATCATTTTGAAATGCATAATTATTAATGTGATATAAACCATAAATTAGGATATGTGACCAGCAAAAAGAGCTCATAAATCCAGCATGTGGATGATTGGGGAGCCCTGTGCTAGACTGTAAAGGGTGTTAGAAGAAGCAGGAAGGGTGTGTTGGGTGTCCACTAAGAGGTCACCCACGCCAGGCTGAGTTGCTAAGGCAATGGGGAGCCACCCAGGTTGTTGGGCTGGGAAGGGTCACATGCGGATCTCTGTGTGAGGAAGGCCATGGTGGTGGTCACAGGGGAGCCTGACCTGATGGCAAGGGACTGAGAACTGGTCCTCCTGTGTGCAGATTCATATCCCAGGTCTTTTCTTTCCTGGTGGTAGAAGCTTGGGCTCAGTTCCTTAACCTGTAAAACAGAAATTAAAATACCATCCTAAAGGATTGTTGGGAAGATGAAATAAAATAATGTATGGAAAGTGCTTAGCGCTGGACCTGATACAGAGGGCTTGCTCGGCAAGAAGAACTCTTGTTACAATTGTTACTAACGTTATGTAGTTTGAATGGGAGATGCTGAGTCCCAGGGCAGAGGCCAGGGGTGGGGGAGGGAGAGAAGGGAACTCCCAAAAGCTCAGACCTAGAGGTGAATGTCTTGCTCAAGGTCACACAGATGATGCAGGATAGAGCTGGACTTGAACGTGGTCTTCTGATGCCCACTTGCTTCTCAGTTCATTGCATCTAAGCTGTTTTTCCAGTTTCTTAATTTTTTTTTTCTTTTTTAGAAAATAAGGAGCCAGTTCTCACTCATACCTCCACCCACACAAAATTAAAAAGGATTTAAAGCAGGAGAAGTTTTAGTTGGATGTGAGGCAGGACCTTCTTGGCAGCCAGAGGCACAGAATGCTGGTTTTAGAACCTCCAACCTGGAGAAGTTTAAGAGGAGCGTCCCAGGTAGTTGAGCCTGGTGGTCACGAGCCGACACCCAGTGGGCTGTGTCTGGCTCACAGATGTGTTTGGTTTGGCTGATCTTTAAGAAACAGGAAGTTTTATTAAAATGCCAGTAGATCAGGCAATGCTGGGCAAGGGCAATGCCTTGTTGGAACTTACGCGATGGGGCTTGTAGCCCAGGCCTACAGCTTCTTACTGCTGCCCTGACACTGAGACCGACTCTCAGAGGCCACTCACCTTGGGGTGAGAGGGACTCTTCTCTCACATTAGGCCTACTCTGTCTTCCTTGTCACCTGTCAGGCCCCTGTAGGCATTAGGATTGGTGGCTGCTGATGTAGACTCTTCTGGGCCTGCAATACCTCCATGCATGAGACAGGTCTTTTAAAAACTTTCTCGCCACCTGAGGACTAATGGATTCCACTGAGAAACCCCATACCCTGGCTCTAAACCTTCCTAAACCTGGTTATACTTTGAGTTCTAGAATGGCCCTGCTGGAAGAACCTTGAGAGAGAGAGAGAGCGCGCGCGCAAGAGAGAGAGAGAGAGAGAGAGAGAGAGAGAGAGAGAGAGAGAGAAAGAAGCCCAGTGCTCCCATTTTACAGATGGGGAAACTGAGGTCAAGGTTACCTAGAAAATCAGGGTGGAATCCCACCTTCTAGACATTTTGACCACACAGGAGAGCAGAGATTGAAGGCAGCCCTAAGACTGTCCTCTCTTTACCCAAGCTAAGAGGCACAAATGCTAAGTGGTGGTAAAATCCTTGCCCAAGCAAATGGATACATCTGGATCTTTAAGAAAAGTTCAGCCCACATCTTAGAAGGCCCAATGAACAACATCTGGCGAGACCATATAAAAGGGGAGCCAGCCTTACACACACACACACACACACACACACACACACACACACACAATCACACTTTTCTTTTCCCTCTTGATT